CAAACAGGAAGTGAACTTTATAAAATTGGAAACTAAAGTGAACGTAGGAATTACAGCAATGATAGCTTTTCTGCAAATATCTGGCACGCAAACGGCTTCTATGGAGGTAGTTGATTAATCAAATTGTCGTTTGTAGGCACGACCTTTGACATATCTTCTCAATTACACCGCAAATAGTAATTTAATTGCATCGAAACTATGTCATTAACAGTTCATTGCTTCTAGACAAGTATGAATCACGAGCATTATAGTTGCTTGTCTCTTATAACAAATTACTTTAGTTACAAATACATTAAGACAAGTGTCTTAGTTAACTTCATCAGTTTTTACATTGTATGTATCTTTGATAATGTGAGAAAATTTCAATTGAGGAGTAATTTCCTTACACAAGGATTAAGAGTAGTATAGAACCATTTCATTAAGTTGTATGACACAACTTTGTTATACGTTGTCAGCAATATAATGCAAAAGTCGTATAGTGAATGAGTTGTAAATAGTAATGTTAATATAAATATAAATATTTTAAATGCACTATATAAATATCAAATATATTAATATAAATATTAAGAGAAATATATTAATAAAGGTTTAGGATCACCTTCATATCACGTTAACCATTTTAATATTATTATAAACGTTAATGTATTTCTTGAAACTGGTCCTGTAGTCTTTTTCGGTATCCTGTAAGATAATAGGTATTCAAATTATATACGACCTCTTATACGAAATTCGAAATTTAATTCTTTACCTACAGAGACCAAGTTCAGAGGTCTAATCGATCTTGGTCGTTTTTACGCTTAAGCGATCTTCAAAGGGAGACAAAGTCGTTCTTGTTCGTAATTCCTAGCTCCCTGCAATTGGGAATAATGATTAGAGTATTCGAAATGGGTCACCTATTCATGTAAATTTAAATTTCTGCATTTTTATAAGCGCAGAGTTACTGTAAAACTATAGAGGGTTTTTTTTAGTGAAAATAGGTTAAAAATAATGTAATTAAAATTATTTCAGTACAATCATACATACATATCGGTAATATTTAATTAAAAATATCCTATAGAATTCACTGAATGATAATGTGAATAGTAATAATAGTAATAACCATGAAAATTACTTATAATTAATTTTACAACAAATTTAATGGATTACAGTTAGTAACTGTTATTCTCATTTTTACCAGGAAAGTCTAAATAATTACCTCTTAAGAAATTGCGACCACAAATTTCAAGAGACATTAAGGGAATACTTGAGGGAATAGTGAGAGAACTGAAACTTCTAGATAACGATTTACTTGAATTGTCGCCATAAAATCGTTCTAGTTGTAGATAGTTCGCACACCTCCACGTAAGATTAAAATCCGCGTGGAGGCGGTTGAGCTATAGCAGACAGAGGTACCGTGCAGATGCAGTGTCGTTCGCGGACATTACCAACGCTCAGGAGAGCATTTTTCCTAGTCGCCTTTCCCAGGAAAAGACAACAGTCTTACAAGAAAGAGTATCGATTCTGCACGTAAAGAATTCTAAGGAGACTTGAATTAGACCATTGGAACAGATAAGACGTCGTCTTATTCAAACGCTATCTCGGTTACTGTAAACGTCCATAAGAAAGGTAGACCAATTCACGAGAACTTATAATTTGTTATTTTAGTAATTTACTGCTAGAACCTATATAAGGTAAAGGCACCAGTAATTGACCTGGTATCGATAGTTGACCATTTTTCAGGAAAACGTAAAAGATAAGATTTTCAAAAGTAATAATCTTTCGATAAAGGCGCGATAGATATTCTGCAGCACCTACCGACCCAACTCCGAAACACTTTTACTCGAATTAAATTATTCATCGTAAAAATTAACAATTTATTTCATTGTCGTTGGTTGTATGCCTTCAATTTCCAACATGGAATTAACTTCTTTTCATTTGTATTTGTCCTTTTACTTGTAACTTGTCATAATCGTTGCAAATAAACGAGATTAAAGTAATCACCTTTAGTGTTTTTGGTTTTACTATGAGTGGTCAACTATCAACTAATATATGGTTAATTATTAGTTTTTCCGTTTTAAAGAATAGTCAACTTCTGGCGTAAGTATTGCATTTTTAAAAATGTCTATAAAACTTGGATAATATAACAGATTCAAAAAAGTTCGCTTTGTTACGTAATATAAGAAGTTCAAACAGCATTTTCACGCATAGAGTCTTTCCATGTAATAAAGGAGCAAGCGTTTACTATTATTTACGCAGAACATTTTTCTTAACTGGTGAACTATTGGTGCTTTCAGCTTATATTTAATTGGAATTGTTGCATAGAAATATTTGACAGTTTTAGTACTTTTGGCAATAATACATAAATAAAGAATATCGATAAGAAGTTAATAATTAGCCTTTTTTCTCCATTGTCTAACATTTTAACATTACAATAATTTCGTTTTTAAATGAATTTGTCTTTGTTTTTTCATTTTTAAACCGAATAATAATTTATTTAAATTTATTTTAACAATTGGTTTTATCTCAGTGTTAAATATTCTGTTTCAATTTCTTCAGTTACGTTTTAACATTGTGTTACTTTTGTAAAATATGGAAGAGTTTATTGTGTGAACAACAATAGTCTATGTGATGGAGATTCATAAAAATGACAAATTGAATTTGCTGGACAAACTGTAAGAATCTATATAAAGGTTTGAGGTGACTGTTCAAGAACAGCCGTTAAATCCACTTTTATATCCGAACGATCGTGCATGGTCTGAACTGTTATACCATAATCCACTTCCCCGAGTGTTACAAAACTTTCCCAGCTTTTTATTCAATTTACCAGAAACAGTGATAACTCACGTTTCGCCTTATACGTAATGCTTTCAGAATACATCGGGAAATTTCTGAAATTTTCTAGCTTTCGGCTAAATGTTAAGAAATTTTTATTCAAGATACAAGTGACCAATAATCACGAGCATTTGAAAACATTCGGAACGTAAGTGGCATTCGAGAATTTACCTAAGAATCGAAGTAATAATAAACTTTCATCTAAATATAATTTTAAACAAACGTAAAATATATTACACTTCATAAAATCTGTTTAATTTTGACAAATTAAATAAATTAATATACATAAAATCCCTGATAGGAAAAACTCTGTTTATTTATCTACTTTAAAATCGGACTCGAGATAATTAGAGTTTCGGTTTTTTGTTTGACAAATTTCACAGATAAAACAAAAGAACAAAATTTTATTATTGTTTTTAATTCCCTAAATTTCAAGAATTCTTGATTACTATAAATGTTTAATGGATCTACAGAGTGATTATATATTTTTGATACAAGTAATTTAGTGTATTACTGGCATTAGAAATTGTAAAGTTTTATTGTTACTTGAATATTAAATGTAACAATAGTTTAGAAATATAAAAGTGACGAAAAGGAAAAGAAAGGCGGGAAAACTCAATGAATATCGTGGGCCTTGATCTCCCTACGATAAATATTATCCTCCCCTTTCGTGGCGATAGTAACGAGATCGTATCTGATGCCGTTGCGTGTCATTTACATATTTCAGCCGGAGGCGTTCGGCAGATCCTTGCCTTTGGCAATCCAAAATGCACGGGGGTTGCCAAACCACCTTTCGATTTACATTTCAGTATCGAAGGCACGCCTCTGCTCTCGAGATGACGCACGAGGAAATGATAAGAGCAACCGTGATTTCATTAACTGTTGTAAATATTGTAAACCGTACCCATGAACAAGAAACTTGTATTATTCTTTGGAATAATATTCAAATATATAGTGTATTCATTATTATTTAACATTAGATTTACGGAGATTTATTCTATACTTTATTCTATTGTTCCTAGAAGAGTATATATTTATTTATATAGATCACGAGATCTATTCGAAATTAGTGTTTCAAGAACAGAGAATTACAATGAGTATTCAAAAAATTGTATCAATCAAAATAGAGTTAAATTGTTACGAAACAATCTTTAAAAAGTTCAATATCCGTCAAATTGGCGGGTTCCGTAAATCTAGTGTTAAAAAGATGGAATTATATTATTTTTTTCCAAATTGAATAATTATAATTGTTTTTCTCAATGTCTTTTACTGACAGTTTTCTGGTGGTTGACTATTATTGATTACTACTATAATTGTGATTTAATAAAATTTCTGTTTCCTGGTTAAACTATTTGACGTTATTTGGTGAATTATTTATGATCATTGAAAATATTGGTATAATATTCGATTATTTAGACGTTCAGTTGAATCACGAAATACTAAAATATCACTTAAATAGAATATGTTTGGAACATTTTATTGTTAAAGAGATGTATAGGATTTAAGAAGAGGATATAACTCAACAATCTATTAATAATCTTAATTCATCATTCCATATCAGTATTATTTCAACATTATTTGCATCGTATAAAAGTTATATAAAAAGTCACAAAATTATTATACAAAGCATCGTTAATAATCTTTAAAGAATCAGAATAGCTTGTTTTGGGATTCTGCATAAAATTTTTAATTCTACATAATATACACATTGTGTACATATATAAATATTTAAAAAAAGGAACACGTATTTTTATATGAAGAAAGTTGTTGGTTCTCTTAACACTTAACCAACCAAATACGGAGATCTCTCACTGTTCTTTACCATTTAATTTCCATTTATTTTCTTTAGTTTTTTCTTTTGTTATTCTGCAAGTCTTGAACTGGGGATATTTGCAATTCAATAAATACCTTTCTTGCTATTGTACAATAATTCTTAATCCAATCTGTTAAACGAGTTCAATTAAAGTTACTGAAAACGGTTGTAATTTTAGTTTTTCTTATGCGGTTGCCTAAGTGTTAAGATGAAATAGTTAATATTATAGAAATGAATAGTATTTTCGAAATCCTTAAAATTTGGTGTCATATGTACCTGAACGAATGTAATTACTTGCGCAGAAATTAAACCAATGTAAATATTGGAACCATCGTCTGTGCAAGTTTCACTTGTCGAAAAATAAAGAATAACTTACCGTGGCAGGACAGGGCGAATTGTCCCTGGAGAGACTCCCGAGAGTAACCAACAGTCGGCGCGGAGCCCCCAACACTGAGTCTCGCCATCCCTCTGAAACAATAAACACAGAAAGAAAATGTAGGCCTTCATACCATGTATCATGCTCTTACCAATTGGGAGCAGTATAGTCATATTTTCTTTAGGATGGTAAGAGTTTTCCTATTTTGAATCCTTTATTAACACTAAAACTATCGAACAGTAAAATCGACTTTCCTGTACAGAAACTACAATAGTGCATCTATCGAGACTTTGGTTTGTAAATCAATTTGTTCAGTAATTCAGGGAAATACCTGTTATCTCTTTAATAATTGCAAAATGAAGACATCAGGAAAGGGTCATTTTGACTCGTCTGATAGTTTTAGCGTTAATTCATTTACAGGTTGCACGTTCACCTCCGTGAATGTTTTTGGAAATTAAAGAAAACTTTGTAGAAATATTAAATTTAATAACTTTATGTCTGATTACACATAATTAGTGTATCGATTACGTTCATAGTGATTATGTGAAAATTAAAAAGAAGAAACTATAAACTTTAAGACATTTTTATTTGATACTAACATTTAAGAGTATATCATCAAACGTTATAACGGTTATACACTTGATTTTAAATATTGCATATGTTAATAATGGTTAGATCAATAAGTTAAGTTTTTTCATTATATCTTATTATTTTACTGTTCTTTTTTATTGCTAAGAAATCTTATATCAACGAAACAATTGAACAATGCAATGACATATAATTAGGAGATGACTTGACGTCTACCGGACGGGTTCACGGGCTTTCTAGTTTACAATTTCATTGTTTTGATTAGTCACGTGCAATCGTGTCGACGAATAGTAAATTAATAATCAAGAATATCAAGAATTAGGAAATAAAGCCAACAGAAAATTAAGTCAGAAAAAGTGAAAACTGATCGATCAGTCGAATCGCTCAGCTTATACATCAAGTGATCTAGCAGAATAGTGGGGATTAACCTTTAGGTATGGACATGCGGTCTCACAGACCACTATATAAAATATAGCGGATTTTGAAACCAGTGAAATTTTCGTTATACAGTCGATACTATTATTGTCTTCCTATAGATATTTAAAGAAGTAGAAACAAATAAAACAATAAATTGTTTTATTAGTTGCTACAGACTGGAATATTTAACACTTTAAGCGCCACGAGAATCTTGAATGTTTTGTACATGATTCGTTCCGTCGTAGCAAAGGTAAGTAGGAACAATTATTAATTATTTGGCATCAGAATTCTTACATTACGCTATTGTTAACTTTATTTATGTGATTAAATATTTTTAGTTGACAGCGATTCAGAAGCGTCGGTCATCGGTGACCAACACGGCATTTGACGTGTTAACATTAATCGATAATTTTCAGACTTCCATACTTAAAGGTCAAATTCACGTCCATACTTAAAGGTTAAAAGAAGAAGAGAGAACATTTGCGAAGGAATACTTCGGCACGATTATTTTCGCAAAATGTCCCCCTTATCGCGTCGAATATTTACTACAGCGCGGCGTAACGCGAATAAGAAAACAGTATAACGCGAGTGGGGCGTGCTGCGAGAGGGTAAGCCGCAGGGGTGGTTTCATATTGCTAGATTAAGCGTTCAACTTCCACCTTCGACTCTAACTCCGTTTCCTTCGACGATGTCTTAAGCCCAAATGTCCTAAGTTATAGCCGCGAGTTTCATTAAACGGCTTGATGACAGATCACTCTTTGTCTCGTTTATATTACGGTCCGCGACGAAAACGGATTTAATCACAGAGACGGGGTCCCATGTACAACGCTCCGATGCTAATACTAATCCAAAACATTTCATCGTTTCGACAGTAGTTGGAACTCCTTGGAAACGTTCTACGTAATGGACAGATTGATTTTGACAACTTGATATAGATTCATTTCTCGTCTGTTTAACCCTTTGTATGCGGTAGACCACTCTGAGTCGTCATTTGATTTGATATAATAGAATGCTAAATAGAATATTATATAATTTAATATTAAATATTAAACTTTATATAATGCATCAATATGTGAAATATTAAAACAAAATAATTTTGGTTCTGGATTTCCGTGCGATTTCTTACTAGTTACTTGTAAAGAGTGCGATCTATATCTCGCCGGAAAATATTTAATGTTTCTAATGAAAAACTTTCGAGTGTAAAGGGTTAATATTAATCGTTCGGTTGCTGCTTATAGAATTTATACTTGAATTTTGATAAAAAGAAATGATTACAAGTGTATTTATACTGAAACATGTTTTGTACATGGTTTCGTGGTTAATAGTGTTGCACTTTCTTTAATTGATGTTGAAGACCTACAAGATTCGAAATTTATTAAAATAGTTTTTTTTAAAATACAGAATAGTTTTACAAGAACGCATTTTTATCATTACGAAATATTACTATTCACACATAAGTTTAAAAATTCTATAAATTTAAAAACTCTATACGAAAATAATTTCCAAAGCGTTGTTTGAATTAAAATATAATGCCTAGAAAGTCGAACGAATAACGACAATTGTAATTAATTTAAACATTTTGTGTATATATTAAATAACTATTACTGTAATATAATTGTACGTAATATTCAATATTCACAGGATCATTCATTTACAAGACCAAGAAGAACACAACGAAAAAGAAAAAATATGAAAAACAGTTTTTCCGTTTCAGTTGTTTCATTTTTAACCCTTTGCACCTATGATTTCTTCCGCAACTGCACTCATTAGGACTTTATCGTCAATAATTAACTAGAAAAATAAAGGGATTTTATTCTCATTCTACGCCTATATTTACTTTAAAGCATAATAACTAACGACAGATAAATAATATTTCATTTTTACTGAAAAGAAGTGAATGACATTTGTATTTATTAAATTTTAATACTAATACTACTATGAAATATTACAAGCGTAAAATTGCTGGTCTCGTCTTATAATAAAGTAACAAGATAAAGTTGACCGCAAAAAAAGGATACGCTCGTAGCGTTGCCCACCAAATGGCCTCCGGATTAATAAATCTCAATTACGCGAGTTAATACCGGGGGCAATTCTCTCCCCTAGGCCTGGCAAAGAACCGGATACGAGGGTGAAGGCATTTCTATCGGGGGCATTGTCGGCATTGTCGCTGGAACAATGACGATGACGATTCTCTGTAACCGTCTTTGCTTGTAAAACCGTTCACGGTATCCCTCAAAATTTATCGCCGTTTCTTCGTGGGTTTACTCTTGTTATTCTTGGTAATGGTATTCAGTTACCAACTGTTTTGCATCCCTCATATGCTTATTACTTTCGATTAACAATATTCACATTTTTTCAATTCAATTTAATGAAAATCAATGTTCAAATTGCTTTCCTATTATCAATATTTTTAACTTCGTCGATATTATAAGATAAAGAGTTATCTATAAGCCTGCTACAAAAGAATTATAACCCTATTGATTTGATTTTGGTTACTAGGATGCATAGAAAATTCCATTTATTGAAAATCATGAATAAAGAATGCCGAATAAATTCAGTCGGATTATTATTTACGAATAATTAAAATATTCATCAGTCACAGGTGACAAATACATTGAATTTATTCGTTATTCTAAGAAACTTTTGTTCAATGCTGCATATACTGATGCAAAAAACATAAAAGACACTATCTTACTATCAATCAAATTTTTTTCTAAATGTGAATAAGAAATAATGAATATTAAATAACGAATAAAGGTTTCCCACACGACTAACGAATAACAGGAACAACAAATAACTTGAATGATAAATAATTGCTGCCGAATTATTGTCACTTAGATAAAGTTTCATTCGAATAACGTCCGATATTGGTTTTATAACTATGCCCTCTCCATATTTTTGTTTAAAATTGTTTATTGATAATATCTCGATTGACATTTAAATTAACAATATCTCTAATGATCTTGAAATTATATTCGTACTACCATATTTGTGTGATATTTAGATTATCTGTCTCAACTTAATATTGCTGCTGCATTGCACTACTTATTCTAACTTATTCGAAGAAAATTTCAAAAGAATAATTTTTCCATTTAATTATAACAGTAAAGCAAGAAACTAAATTTATTCCTCACTTAAATTAAAAATGAATAAAGAGAAATTAGAGAAGGAAAAGTAGGTCTGAGCCAAGCCCTCTCCATTCCACGCATCTTGTTAGCGGCGAACCAAGCGTACCAGAGGGCACTTCCTCTGCGGCCTGTTCAGCCCGTTCCATCTTAAGGTCACCGTGGACTCGTTGACGGTCAGCGGTCGTACGCAAAGTGCACCAGATATGCCTTTATCGTGTTTCATTGTCATTGAAATCGTCCGGTCCGCAAAAGAGGAAGGAACGACCTGCGCAATTTCCGGTCTGGGGACAGGAGACAAGAGAGATGGTGAAGAGGGGCAGCCTCGAGACGAGGGGACGCCACCCTCGTAATCCCGCGGCTGAAAGCCTCGTTTAATATTTATGATTTATTTCGGTTTAATTCGACGTGCAAACGGGAGACGCATTTATATTCGATGTTTGACGCACATGCGCGGAAACCGGATTAGCCGGCTACAGGAACTTTTAATGAATCCAGATTTACTTTGACAGTTATTCCAACTGTTTCTTTGGGATTGTTAAATATTTGGGGCTTATAAGCCGCAACGAGAACGCGCGAGGCGCGTCGGCGCTGTTGCTAACGGTGCCACCGAGAATTAGGAAAAATGTAAATGTCCACTTAGGAACTTTTTGAATTGAAACATATTTCTTAATCTTTAATATGGTTGCGGATAAAAGAACGTTTAAAAGCGCATTCGTGGATTTACAGTGGAGACTTTCTAGCTGTTTCAATGCTTTTATCGGGGTTTGGATTAAGGAAAATGGGGCAGATGGTTTATGTAGATGATGAGTACGAAATTTTGAAAGTTTTATGTACTAATGGATTTTTTGCTTAATGTCATTAAGTTTTGTTACCTGCTCAACTGTTTTTGCTTTCGAAAAATAGATTTCTTTTTCTGATATTTATTGTCTACTTGGAATTTTTGTAACGTGATTTCGTGA